GGACGCGGCGGTTCTCCAATCAGCGGCGCGGACACGCTCGCGGTCCCCCTTTACCCCTTAGGCTTCGCCGATGCTAATTTCACGGGGCTCGCGAAGCCTATTGCCTCGGCAGCAACGTAGCAGCAACGTGGCAGCAACGCGGCTCGTTCCCCCCTCGCGGCGGCTTCACTGATGATGACGAGATGATCACTTAATTTGGCCAACAGCTGCCGCGCTCCTTCTTCCCCTTCTTCATCTCGTTCCCGCTCCTCCTCCTTTCTCCCCTGCTTCCCTTCGTCTTCTTCTTCTTCTTCTACTTCTTCTTGCCCGCTCATTCTTTTATCCAGCTCGTCCTGACCGAACCTGAAGGGACGGCTCTTGAAAGAGACACTCGTAGCGACGAAAAATATCGCGGCGAGTTTGTTGCGGTGGTTACGCGCCGGCGATAATTAAACTCATTGCCGAGCAATTAGCCCGTGGAAAGGTGTGCCGGAAGTGCGAGCATTGCCAGATAAATGCAATCGTTGCCGCGTCTCCCTTTACATATTTTACATCTTTACGCGTGTATTAATGTTATCGATATTCGAGAATTTTGATATTTTTCATGTACTACTCTTGGGTATCCGAATATGTCGAGTATTTTCGGTTATTTCGGTTTTTTAAAAAGAAAAATCATTTGAAGCAAGCTCGGGAAAATTTTTCAGGATCTCCTCTTTTCCAGCGGCATACCTTCCGTAAAATTTTTCCGCGCTACGTTATTATATTCCTTGACACATTCCTTCTTCCTCGCGTAGGGTTCGAATAACTTAAGGGCGCTTCTCTACCGAAGAACGAGCGGTTATCGGCGACGGTGTCGCGATTTATATTCGCTGTCGACGCCGGTCGTTCGTCTCCGCCTAAGTTTCGCCAGTTTTTTTTTCCGCGACAGGGTGGCGGTTAGGCGATACGTTTACCGGCGGAAACCTGGCGTTGAAACAATGAACCGACCAACCGGCGTGCTCCCTGCAAATCTCCAGACTTAGCGTCCCCATTGTCACCCCTCTCTCCCTTCTTTCCTCCCCGCCCCGACGGCCCTTTGCCGTTTTCCTCCCGCGCTCTCTTTTGTCTCTCTCTCTCTCTCACCCTCTCCCACCCCTCGCGGGGGTGCGAAGGGTGCCTCGCGGATTTAGACGGCCCCGTCGTCATGGCAACGTCGGATGGCGAACGCCGGCCTCTCGAACTCTTGTTCGAGTCGCGCACGAACCGGAACGCGCATTTCCGCGGCCGCAAACGGCCGATACGAGCGATCGTTTCCGCGCCGCGCCAAATCCCCCCGTAAAAAAGTTTGCTCCGCACTCCGCGTCGGTCATTGAATACAGATTAAAGTGCCAATTGCGCAACGCGACAGCTATCTCGCCGTATCTCGCCGAGAGGAGAATGAGAGATGGATGTCTCGCGTCCGGAGAGTTGCAGTCGCGAAAGCGAATTGTGAGGGATCAAGAGAGCGAGATGAGAATTTTCCTTTGACTCGCCGATGAAATTAATTAGATTCTAGTAGGGAGTCGAGGATTTGAATTGTGATGATCTGATTAAATAATATTCCAACTCTTTTCAGCTTTAAAAAATCCATGAATAAAGTTCTAATAATAAATCTTATATATTTTTTCGAGCATTGTAATTTTGGATCATTGCTTTTATTCTTTCTTACTTCGTCGAAGTCTCGGGATTAGATTCGATTAGATTTTTGAATCTTTGTTTCTAGAAATTTTTAGATTTTTTTGCGTTTAGATGGTTTAGATCTTTTTGCTTTCTTATCAAATTCTATAATATTTTTGGATCCTCGTATGCTATTTCATTCATTATAGTTTCCTATAAAAACTTTAGTACTCTTTTATTTATTTAGTATACTTTCCTCGAACTCTAGCTCTAACGTTTCTTGAATTTTTTATCTCAGAATATTTAAAATATTCTCTATAATTTAAATCGCAATATCGAAAAGTTTTATCTGTCAGAAAAGAAAAAAAAAATAAGAAATTCTACCATTGAATTTTGTCATCGGTCTCGCGACACCGACGTATTTTATCCAGCGACGCCAACGTCGTATATTTCAGCCAGCGGCAGTGCCTGGATTTATCGTTTTAATTTCTGACGGGATTGAGTGGAAAGAAAGAATAAAGATATCACGGGTACCCGGGGGATCCTTTTCCGCGGAGAACACGAAACAAAGTGGAAAAGACGAGGTACACATTCATCACGAGTTATTAACCGAGGTAACAAAAGACCGATGAAAAATAGACTAGAAGATAGAATCAGCTGATCATGACATTTGATTGTAAACTTCTCGCTTCATCATTTTTGATATAATTAGTATCACTATCGAGACAATCATTGTCATTTTCGGAAAATTATATTAGGAATTTCATTGCTAAAAACGTTTTATGATTATCAGTGCTCCTGTAATCTGTGTACACTTTTGAGTCGTCGCGCGAGATGCGAATTCTTATCAAGGGGTGGGAGGAGCGTATTATGTATTAAATTATGATCAGCCGGAGGCGTCCTAGCGATATCCCGATACAACGGCAAGGGATGGCGAGATACGGGACGACTCCGTCGCGAAATTAACCCTCGAGATCACCGGTGCTTCCGAGGGATAATTTCATTTGGCAGCGAGCCGCCGGATTCTAGCTGCCGCCTGCGGGCTGTCTGGCCGCCATTTTCTCTCTCGCTCTCTCTCTCTGCACAATTTTTTCCTTTTATTTATTGCAAAATTTATTCTCGCTGCAATCTCTCTCTCTCTCTCTCTCTCTCTCTCTCTCTCTCTCTCTCTCTCTCTCTCTCTGCTTCTATCCTGCTCCAGACAGAGCTGATGAAACGAAATGCAAATTTTGACACAATTTGGGCAATTCTTCGATTTTGAAGATAGTCCAGGATTTTTCTCAGAGAAAAGGAGTTAAACTTTTCCCGGAAGAGAGCTTCCAAGCGAGCTTTCACGATCGTGATAAACTCCCAAAGCCGGACGGGACAGCGACGATGTTACGGGTCAAGTCGAGGGACGAGGGTGTGGAAAAAAAATAAGGTCCGCGAGGAGAGAACGGCGTGAAAACGTCTCCATTTGCGGGATACGGAGCTCGATTTTTTCGAAGTCCATCTTTCGAGCTTTATCCTCGGGGGTTATTCACCCTCGGATATCTCACCCTCGTCTGACTTTCGCACGAGAAAACTTCGAACTACTCCGATTGTCGAATACGCGGAAAGCTTCGCTTGTCTCGTCAATCGATTTCGGGAAAAATTGCGTAGAGGATCACGAATTTCCTGCAGATTTTTAACACGTAAAGCAAAATGATAATATAATTACACACGTTATGTTGCGTTATTATATTTTTACTCTATCACATTTTTTGGACAAATATGGGATCTATTTCTGTTTATAAGATATATATATAAAAGTTGAAAGTTTCTCACGTCATAGAAAATAGAAGAGAAAAGTTTCGAAGAAAAGTTAAATATCTCTCAAAAGAGATGGCCGAGAGAGAAAGAGATGTTTCTTTCGAGAAAAATTTCTTTATTAATATACCATTTCGCTTTACGCACTTTTCTATATATCCAAGGACGCATCGGAACCCCCTCCCCGGAAAATTTCATTCTATTTTACCGTCATATATCGCGTCATCGTTATATAAAATGAGACGTAAATAAAATGAAATAAATTATAGCGATGAATGTGTAATGTTATAATGGAACGAAATCTTGGCACACATCTCTCACTCTCTTTCTCCCATCTCTCTCGCGAGCATGCAATAACGATCCCTTTCCCGGGGGTAGCTACCCTCTCTCGTACCTGTAACATCAATTAAAATTCTCGTGGTCGATGCGCCGCTGTTTCGCGCGATCGTCCGACGTTTTTAATTGGATTAGAGCGAGACGGCTAGAGTGGCCGAGGGGAAGGTGGAGGCTCGTTTCGAGGGTGCGAGATTGTAGGAAGGGGTCGGCGGGATATTTCAGAGTGGGGCGATGGCGGTGGGTTTGGTGGGTAACTCAGGTAAAATGACAGAGATGAGCGACTCCGTTCCCTTTTCCACCCGATTCCACCGAATTCGCTGGGAGAGAAGCATCCCCGGGAAAATGAGGGAATCAACTTTTCCATTGCGGCTTAATTTGTTTCCATTGAAAATTTCACGTCGCGTATGCAAAGTGGATATCCCTTTCTCGCGATTTCGTTTGCGAGTAACATTGTTTTGTTAATTTAAATGTTCGTTTTTTAAATGCACGCGCGCAAATATTTTCGAAAAATAAATTATCAATTATTCGGTAAGATAAAAGCGTGTTGTGGAGAACGTTGAAAGTTTTGTCCGGGGATATTTTGATCGATCGTTGCGCTTCTGACTTCGGATTTTGAGAATCTCGTGAAGATCGCGATAAACGAGCGATCCGCTCCGCTCCGCGCGTCGCATCTGCATTCGCAACACGCCGCATTAATTATGTATTCAATAAATTTTAAACGCATTGAAATGAATTCAAATTGCAGATTAATATTAAACGGCGTGCGCTAATTGGCCGGCCAATTATGCGGCGTTAATTAAACATTAGATGCGGCGGCCGCTAATTCGAGCGCGTTGCGACTTGCGCGATCTACAGATCTCTCGTCGACTTTAGAGAGGAAATTTATATTAAAGCGGTGTCATCTGTAATAACATTTGCAACTTGTTGTTCTACCATCAGCCGAGTTTTTCTTTGCGTACCGACTGCGAATTCTGCTGAATAGAAACACGAAATATTCCCGAATGAAACTTTCACAGTGGTAAGTTTCTACGATATGCTTACCGACATTTTATTGAATAATCGATATAATTTATATTTAAAAAAATTTAGAATTATATAATTTAATTAATATTACGTCGAGATATAAAATTATATTCTAACTTTATACACATTGTAATGAATTAATAATAATTACTGCTGGGTATTAAATCTCGACATTTATTTTGAATCTTGTAGCGAGTATAAAGATAATAAATGGGAGAGAAGAGGAGAATATTATTTTATAGAAAAGGAATATTTTATTACATTCAACTACACGTTACAATATATTGATGCGTGTAATTATGCGGGCGCACATAAAACATCTTTTATCTGTCGAGTTATCGTCTTATATATAAAGAAGTAACGCAAAGAGCGCGGGCAAAGATTGAAAATGAAAATACGAGACCTTCCAGCAAGTAGCGTTATCAACGAAACCAACATGTTTATCTCTGATATGTCCTCGATTAATGATACAATTGTAAGGCGCGTAAAAATCGCCGAAAGAAATCAGGAGAAATTTTAAATCGAAAACTACTTGATTTCGCATTGACCATATATCTTCTTTCTTGTTATTATTAAAGGGAAAAAAAAAATATCGAGTATCCGCCCGAGTATCTCTCTCGTGAGTATCTTGATTATATCAACCACCAAATGTATTACAACGTATTGACTATATTAATATCCCACTCTCTTAAATTGAATCAGTGAAAATGTCAGTGATCAAAACAGTGACGATATTTCACCAAAGATCAATGAGTTTTTCACTGATCTTTAATGAAAACAGTCACACTTTGTTCTTTCATCTTATTGATCTTTTTTATTTTTATTTTATTGATTATGTAAGATTTCGTATGGCTAGTATTTAAATTCACAGAATCATACGTATTACATTCCTTTACACTCTTAAGATGTAATAAAATTACAAAAAATGAAGAAGACTCTTATTTTCAGTCAAATTCAAATATTTTTTTAACAAAATATATTGTTATTTATCTTATAATATAAAATGCATTTTAAAATCTCATCGATTGAAAGAGCTAGATACTACTATTAATACTTTTAATGAGATTTCACGCTATTGGCAGTGTTATACTTACAACTAAAACTATAGCTTATCAATGATAATACACTGATTCCATTTAAGAAAGCACCTTACATAGCTTTGTTCGATTGGTTATGCAGCTGAGACGCGATTACGTGTCGAGTTAAAGTTAAATCTTAACAGCGAGTGACGGAGACATTATTTTACTCCTTGACTATATAAAATGATAAGAGCAATTTCGATTTCGTTCATCTTTACTTCTCTCATTCGACTCGCGTGGTGTGTTATCCACAATGTTATTGACGGAAAGTTACATTTGAATCTCCACGCGAATTATATTTAAGAATTTTGCCCTTGAAATCAATTGTATCTCGAGACGCGTAGCGTAATCATAGTACTCTTTGGCTTCCTTTGAAATTCACCGCAGGAATCCGCAAACGAGAACGCGTTTTCTTTATTTCATATACATTGCTGTAAATTGGCTGATAGAAAATCTTTCTTCTCTTCTTTTTCAGTTCTCTTGCATGTCCGATCTGTATCCTCCAACCCGTCTCGAATAAGTAGTCGCGCCGAATAGTTTTGGCTACAGTGGGGTCTCCTCTTCTTGGAGTTATTTTGGGGTCGGAGGCGGGGGTGGTGGTCATACAGCACTTCCGGTGTAAAAGCTTGTCTTGCCAGTCAGCCCCCCGGACGCTCGCTTCTTCCTCTCGCATTCCATCGTGCTGAAGGTGTTCTGAGCGATTTGCGACTTGCGTTTCGGGTTCTGCAGGGTCATGCTGCGCTGACTGGAATTGGAACTGGAGCTGGTACCGGGTTCCGATACCTTGAGAATGCCCGAGTGTATCGTCCCGAAATTTTGATATATGTACTGCGACTGAATGGCCGACACGGACGTGTTTTGATTCTTCAGGGTGATCGGGACGGTCTGACCAGCCAGACTGTTGTATCTGGTGTCGTAACCGAATGGGGTGTCCAGTAGGGACTCGTTCTTGTCGACGTAGCCGCTCAGTCTGGAATCGAGGAGACCCTCCTTGTCAGCGAAACCGCTCAGTCTTGAATCCACGATGTCCTGATTCTCGGCGCTTCTCGCGGAGAAGTCGGTAGTGTATCGCTGTTCCTGTCCCGACTCCTTGTTATCCGTGAAGGCGATCATGTTCTGCCTTGAGTCGGACAAGATCCGAGAGTCGATAAAGCCTTCCTTGTCCGTGAAGCCGCTCAGTCGGGAATCCACAACGCTCCCCTCGGTCTTGTCGAAGTTGTACCGCGGATCGATGCCCTTGTTATCCGGATAGGCCGGCAAGACGTGGGACAGGTCTGCCTTATCGACGTAACTGATGGCCTGCGGATTCGAGCCCGCGCAGATATCGGGCGCCGACTTGCAGAGCAACGACGTTCCCTCTTCGGCTATTTTTTGAGGCGCTAGGACACACAAGCGCGGACTTATTTTTGCTCCGGATAATTATTATTGGTACAGGGTGTCCCGCAGAATCTCGAATTTCGTTCTTTTTTTTTTATTTTTTTCTTTCACGATCATCGGGAATTTCATCGGATCTCAAGATCTTAGCACGCTCGGTGGGATATCTCTGATATTTCCACGCGATCTTTCACGCGGGACACCCTCTCTAGTTGAATAAATTCACCCACTTTTAGCCGGTTGACCGAAGGGTCGTGCCTGCGGCGGTCCCGGCGATTTCTGATGCGCCCGCACGAGATATTCCGAGCTGAGTCCTCTCTGTTCCCTCAGCTTCCTCTCAGCTCCCGGGACCATAACTCTCACCTACAAGAAAAAGAGAAAGAAAACAAATAGCATGAATATCCTCAAACCCGATTGCGAGGTATGCGGTGATAAAGCTAGGAATCCACTTGTTCAACACACAGCAGTATTTCACAGCGTGGTTGGCGTTCAAGTGGATTCGTAGCTGAAATCACGCGGGATAATTTGCGCGGTTAATGGTAGTTTCAATCGACAACTTCACCATCTCCTCAACCGTGGAAAAGCGCGCCATGTAACCGGACATGGTTAAAACGGCCGCCACTTCCGCGAGCATCAGCGCTAATCCCGAGAGCTGAAGGCACCAGCCGTAGTGGTACTGAGGTAGACCGTTATCGTCCATTTGCATGCCGGCAGTAGACGGCAAGCTGTACTTTCCCGGCAGTTCCAGTGACGCGTCCGATAAGGCTGATGCCAGAACTATCAGTCCGCCGCCCAAAGAAAGTCCTGAAATACGATTATACATCCATTACACATTTTATGTCTTTGCCATTCGTTCAGGAAATAATGTTGGTGCAAAAAGTTTAATTTTTTTCCTTCTGTTTTTTTAAATATTTTTTAAAAAGCTGATCAGAGGGAGAGAATCTAATCTCGCATCGCTATAATCGATTAATTTTTACATTTTTTAGCATTATCGAGAGAGTATCTCGGAATTGAATCGGCCATAGCGCCTCCGCTTTACAATACAAAAAAGTTTTTTTTTAGCTTAAATTAAGATCAAATCGCTGAATCTAATGAAAGTCTGATTCGAGCACATACATGTTACATTCGTACAAATTAATTGCGACGGGAATCGTTGGCTTTAATTGACAGTATACATATCTACAATATATATGTATTTATTTATTTTTTCATGATAATATTTTGAACCGCTAGGAAGATCGGAGATTGTAAGTGCCGATTACAGAGATAACTCTTTTCTTGGAGCGCGACCGGATATCGCTCCGGTTCGATAAGCTATAAAGATTTCATTCCGGTCGTCGTCGTCATAGGAATCTCCCACATTTGTCGAGAGAAACGACGTCGCTCATATTGCGAAGCGTCCGCGGTTTACGGAAGATAGGGACGATCGAGTTATAATAAAAACGGGATTGGCAGACGCAGGAGACAGCTTATGAGAGGGAAGCAATTGTCCTTTCGATCTCCGCTTTCTTACCGTGCAATGTTGCTCCCATGGACTAAAATCATACTAAAATCCGTTCCCCTCGACAATAGAAATTGTCGATGACAAAATAATAATCTCGCGTCCAGGGACCTTGACAAGCGATTCGCATTTTATACGGTAAATGAGCATTCTCATTACGAGCGATTTGAAATAATTTAGAGCGTCCTTTATAGAGATTTATTCTACCGTTACTATCGAGAGTATATCTTTTTTTAATATTTCTCGTGATGTGAAACACGCTTTAGATGCGTATTCCTGCTACAAAGAGAGACAAATTTAACGCGATGATACCTCTCATCGCAGATTACATAAAACAAAAAGAATTGTAAAATTCGTCTACGAGTTAATCAGATGGATGCGTGTGCATTGCGCTATGTCGTTGTTACGCGTTTGTTTTTGCGGGAATATAAAGGATTAATTTCGTTACAGCAGCCGCTAATTCCCTCGGTATGCGCGCCCCTCTGGGTGTATGCTTCTGTACTCGAATAATATCTGACTACGCGAGCGAATGCTACGTATATACACCGGCGGGTAACTTTCCAGTTTCCGTTCCTGTTTCCACGTTCGTCGACTAAATTGCAATTACTGTTAATTAATTGAGCAAAGGTTTGCATAGCTGTCCGCGGACAAAGCAAGGCGTGACTGCACCAACGAAGAAATTCTAGACCACGTCGATTATAATCTCGCGAAACTGCATAAATAAAACGAAGGTCTCTAACAATCCAGCAAAGAGAGAGAGAGAGAGAGAAAGAGATAATTGTTAAGTGTTATCGTGTGCATGTTATTTTAAGGAGGCATAAATTAACTCGAATTCCAGTCTAGTCACTTTACTATCATATTCCTTTAATTCCTTTATTCCTTTAATTAATAATTCATATAATTAGGATTCTCGCTTTACTTCTTGTAAAAGAGTGTAAACTTTCTTAAAAATAGAATTTAAATTTCTCACACTCGCGTAATACGAATTCCTATTCCTATTGAGATATATACACGTCAACGTGGACGTTAATATAATAAAATCTCTTACAAAATAATATACATCGACATCTCACTATGACATTTATACAGATAAATTGTAAGGAGAGAGGCCAGTAATTTATCATCTATTATTATAGAATTAACAGGTATACGTCTCTGTACGTGCTTGTGTCTAAGAATTTAGTTTATATCCTATCCAGGTCACCACGGCATTTCCCCCGCGACCCCTTCGCTGATTTGCGGACGCTCGTCCCTTGCCGAGCGTTGAGAAAGCCGGTTCATCAACAGTAATTACAATCCGCTCGTCAAACGGGGGCCGAAAGTTGCCGGGTCATTGCATTCTCTTTCATCCCCCTTCGTCACCGTTCCCCCGAAAGGTGACGCACGTGTACCCTGTGCTCGGTCCCTTGAAAGTGCCTTAGATCAGAGTTGACAAACTTGATTCGTCTTATTGGAGTTCCCTCTCGGCTTTCACGTAGAGATCGGTGGGGGATAGTTCGCCGTTTGCAGCACGCTCCGGCGATCTCGGCTAATCAAACTACGATCCGGCTACGAAGCCGGACATGCCGGCGGAAGTGGCCGGGGATTTCCCGACTCGTTTCTTGCCGGGAAATCTGACGGGTGCTGCCTCGAACGCGATGCATACCAAAAATATTGGCAGCTGTGCTTAAGAGACATTTCACTATCATTATTTTGACGTCAATGGTATTTTATCAATATAGTTTTTTTCTACCGAAAGGTATGTTTGCGTGGAAAAACGCTTGAATGCAAATGGCATTTTCGAAATAGAAAAAGAGTGATTCGATAATATTTTATTTGAAAGCAAGTTTTCTATTGTTCTTTCCTACTCAATAATCTCGAAGAGCGTTAATAGGTCCTACGATATTCGATATCAATCGACACCGTTATTAATAATTTCAGCGCTAATAATAACGGCGAAAATTCATAACGACGACAATGGCAATAACGAAGATGCAAAAATGCGCCGAGTACTATATACGAATAAAAAAAAAAAAAGAAAAAAGAAAAAAGAAAAAATTCACAAAAATTGACGCAGGCGAGAGGCGCCGCGTATTTCGTCGGTGCCGGCGCGAGCACATATATACATATGTATATGCGCGACGGACACGCGTGCCGTCCGTACACGGTCCACGATGATATGTTGCCAGTGGGTCAAGTTATTTAATCCCGCCGGTATAAACCATAGCCGGCACGTCCGAAATTTATGCACCGGAGCCGCGCCAGAATGCACCACGCTGGGCGGACGGATCCGAAATATTCGCGCGCGCGCGCGCGTCCTCCCGGAAGACCGTTCTCTCCCTCCGGTTACGGCAAACTCGTTATTCGTCCTAGCGAGTCCCCGATATCGAAGACAACGTGCGATTCCCTCCCCCGAGTCGTCGCGGCTCCGAATCGCAATCCTCGCGATTTACGGAATTCGATATGTATTCCGATGGTACTTCTTCTCATTTTTCCTTTTTTTTTTATTTTTTTTGGCAAGCTTCCAATAAATTTCCGCTCCACGCGCTATATTGATCTAGCACAGTTTGTATAAACAATTACAATCAGCAATTTTTTTTTTTTTTTAGTTTTTGATTCGTCCCGTTATCCGCGGCGGTAGCTATTAATCATCGCGTAGAGAGACCGGTATCGTTCATTTGTACATTAAACAGATTTTTTGCGAATAGAGTAACTTGATAAAATTTTATCATTAATTGCAATTATTTAATAAAACATTATATTTAAGAAAGTGGCTACTTTTAAGTTTCAATTTTTTTTTCCGATTTGCTTCAAGTAAATTTTATTTTAACTCGTAGATTTAGAAATTTTTGGGGGACATGTTTTGTATTTTATACATTTTCCTCTCCTTCGAAATTCTTATAATTTTTACGTCTTTGCGCTTCTATAATTATATTTTATGTATATTTTATTATTCTTTTTTCTCTCTCTTTACCTCTTCCTCTGTGGACGTTCTATCTTCGTCTATCTTTAAATACGCGATGAATTAATTAAAATCGGATCCGAGAGAATGTTTCAACAGAAAACTGCGAGGGGCGTTTTATACTGCGATCTGGAATTAATTAAAAAATAGGAACAACAACAACAAGAGCGGCTTGTCAGCTCGCGCGTTCATTCGTTTATTGGTTCGTTTGTTTGCGTGTTGGTATATTCCTTGTTTCGTTCCTTAGCACGCATGCTTTAAATCCAGGAACGTGCATTCCGGAATATAGGGATCGCTATCGATGGGGAATTGGATCGGTCATTTGATATCGCAGACGGTATTCTCGAAATTCGAACGTCCTGTATTAATATTAAATTCCGTCAAACTTGGCTGACGATAGTCGACGTAAATTACACGCGCGATGGCTTTTGATCCGCTTTACAAAATTTTTACCGCAATTCGATTGAGCTACTTATCTTTTTGTTTTTCCGTTCAGCTTCGCTCCCAATTTTTTTTTTTCACTTTTACTTATTTTACTTTTCGAAATACAATGGCCTCTCAAACTTGGTTGCTCGTGACCTAAATCCTCACGTATTATTCTTTTATCGCAGATTTTTCGTGTATGAAACTTGAACAGGGATCGAATAAAGAAGGTATGTTAAAGATATCACTTAACATATAATATAGAGCATATATAAAGGCATTTATATATAGATAAATATATAAATAATATATATATAATATAATAAGAAAAAGAAAAAGGCATTTTTAATAACTGTTTGTGATATTTTGCGTTATTAAAAAAAAAAAAAAAAAAACCATTTCTATCTCGCAACAAGATAAAATGTTAATATAAAACTTTCAGCCTCTATTTTATAAATGTATTTTCCTGATTAACGATCCCCGGGTATTCCAGGAATTCGCGATGCACTCGATATATCGAAATATCGCATGATGCATCGATCGAGGTCGTATTACGGCGATTGAATCTAACGCGATATCCAATCGCGTATTGCTTTTGACATTGTCGGAAAACGATTAATTTTATAATTCCACGCTGAATATAAAATCTGCCCGGGAAAGAGAGGGAAGAGAGGAACAGAAGGGAGGGGGGAGGCTGGTCCCTGTGCTTTGTCCGTAAATAAAAGCGTATTAGCGAACCGTAGCCTCGTAATTCATAAAAATGATTAATATCACGGTGGGAGATGCTCGCGAAATATGCGAAATAATGCGCGAAAATAATGTCGCTCCCAGTGTTTACGGGGAATTTTCATAACGCCGCGTGTATCGACGTTATCGCGCATATCTTTCCCGAAAGCGATGCGTTATTAATGCCGGGTATTAAAAGTGGAGCACACATAC